CCTATGAAAAGACGAAAATAAATAACAGCTTGATTGAAGAGCTTAAATGAAGTGCTTAAAATTTATTTCTAATTTTCCCGATTCTATGCCATTTCTGGTTTTCATAGTAGCCATTTTTTTTATCTTCTCAGGTTCTATTTAGTCAGGTAATTTAGGTAATATTGCAAATCTTCTTTTTAAATCATTTTATTTTGACCGTTTATTAATTAGTTTTATTTTCTGGGTTAATAAAGAAATTAAAAACATTAGCCTACTTGGGTTTGTCAATAGATCATTGGATTTCAAACTAATAAACCACTCAAGTTAATTTTTACCAGTTTCACCTTTTTATATTAAACTTCGTCAATACCACGAAGCGAGAAATGTCTGCAACTATAATTCTCATCGCACAACCAATTGCAAAAGAGAGACTGTAGGCTCTTCTTAAGGAAGTGAAAGAAATTGATGTTGGACCAAATGTTGACCAGAAAAGAAACTCATCAAATGCTTGAGGCTCAAAAAAGAATTATTGAAAAAAATAGATGTCAAGCTGCATGTTGGTACGCTCGAAACCATTAATAAAAATTGGATCCAATACGAGTTCCAACAGAAAAACAACAAGAAGTGAAAATATGCTCAAATGGTCGAAGATAAAAAAGGTATTTTATATTTAATAAACGAAGGTAAGGAAATCAACATAAGTTATCTTAATTATATATATTATATAAATGACTCAGAGCACTCCATGTCCTTAAATAAAGCGAAATAAAAGGGCAACCAATTTGAATAATCTGTTATCCAATCCATCTACCCCAACAACCATTTCCTACTTTCAGTGGAAATCCAAAACCGTGGAGAGGATTCTGGAACAGCTTTGAAAATGCAGTTCATTTACAAAACATACCAGATATCCAAAGATTAATTATTTGATTTGCCTAAAAGGAAAAGCCTTGTTGGCCATTAGAGATGATGTAGTCCCAGAAAATTATGATATGATATGAAAGGTCCTTATTGAAAAATTTGAGCAATCATACATCATTAAAAAATCGTTCTACAATGAGTTACATTTTATATTAGAAGTTAACTGATTTGGACAGATTTATTTGAACTCTTCTCTATTTAGTTCTATTATTTTATTGCCTTCGAAAATAAAAAAATCAAGAAAGATCTAACAAGAAAGATAACCGAGAATGGAAAAATAGAAAAATAACGAACTGTATCGAAAGAAAGAACGGTACCTTCTTGAATATAACTCGAAGCAATGCACGAAAACCATGAGCAACAATTCAATGTTGAAGCTATCATTGAAAACTGCTTGCCTGGGTTCTGGATGGAAAATATCAAAATAACAAAAGCAGAAACAAGAAATATGGTTAATTTAAAGAAAATTCTTAGCGAAATGATTTAAAGAAATAAAGAAGTTATAAAATATCAATCTCTCTCGACAAAAGCTAACTAAAGGTAAAATTAATTCACGAGATCTTCCAGAAGATTTTAGCTATAACGACTCCACAAATTTATAATTAAAAACAAAGCAAAAAATATGAAGAAATATTAAAATGAAGAAGATTAAAATTCAAAGACCTTTTATTTTTTGCAATGATTCAATGAATCATTGGGAAAATGAATGCCAAATTTATTCTATATTTTATTTATTCTAGTTCAGAAAACAAGGACTGAAAGAAAACAACTCTTTAAATTATCTTTTATCTTCAACCAGAACATATGACAATCAGTTGCAAGAAAAGGAAAAGTGCCTGCTCCTTCCGTTCAAAAAGTCCATATAATATCACGTTATGCTAAATATAACGATCGAACATAATCAAAGAATAGACAAACTCGGAAAAGATAATCAACTCAATAATAAAATTCGGGATAAAATGATAGAGAAGTTTTATAAAAAATTTTTCTCTTATCTCTTTTATAAAGAGATTGAAATAATTATTTTAGATATACCAGAGATTTCAAATAAAATCGTAGTTTTATTCGATAGTGGTGCTCAAGAAACTTGTATATCGAAAAAATTAGCAAAGAGCCTAAATCTAGAAGATATTGATTATCGAGGAAGTTCATGGTTTCGGAACCCTCAAACATCGTTTTTTGCCAAGATATGGATAAAGATATGGATATGGATATAGTATAAAACTATAAAAGCAAATATATACATTGTAGCTATTTAAGTAAGCTAAAAATAAGATAATAAAAGTAATAAATCAAGGCAATGAATCAGAAATTTCAACCCCTTTAAAATGAAAATTAGCAGTTGGAAACAACCGAAGTTGATTATTGGAGTCAATCATTTCTTTAAGTTTATTTCCTTAAATCCAAATTATGAATTCAGATTTTTCCTTAATCAATACAACAATCGCTCCAGTGATTGCTGGAAGAGGATAAACAAACAAGCATGGTAATCGCCTCAACAAGATAATATTACATACCAAATGTTCCGTTCAGAATGATGACCAAACCACCTTATTAATATTGACATCCCAGTGATTGATCGATTCTAAAAGTTGGAATTCATAGGGATACAAGAATAACTTTATCTGCAGAATCTGCAAAATAAAAGTTTCAAGGAAAACATTACCAAAAACAGTGGCAGATACCAAGTTGCCTATGGAAAAAATAAAGAATCAAGTTAAAAGATAATTTTGAGTTAAAAGATAATGTTGTTTTTTACTCGCTATCTTCAATTAAAATCTTTAATTAAGCAGAACAAACGGTTCTGAACGTTTACTTCTTAAATACGACGAAACACTTTGCAATCAATTGCAATCCAACATTATCAAGAAGGTGCATCCAGTAATGGACCAGATTGGTATTATTCATTATCTTCCTCACCATGAAGTTATAATTCCAAGTATGGGTTGCATCGATCGGAAATTCCGAAGTAATTGTATTACAAAATTATTCAATAATAATTGTATATCATAAGATTATAAATTATAAAGTTTTTATCGTTTATTAGATTCAGTATTTAGTTTGCTTTATTGGGTCAAATTTTATTGTTTGCTCTGGTCAATTTTTCATTATTTTGCTTCATTGTTATATTTCAGGGGCATTTTTTCATCTGTTGATTTATTCGTATTAAAATTATTCCTAGTATTTAATATTGGGTTTAAGCATTAGCAATCTGAGATCATAGCCTCTCCTTTTTCTTTCTAAATTTTAATAGATTAAGTTAATATTGTTTTGCACGTCATTTTATTTATATTGTTATTTGGATAGAATTGGATATAATAATGATTTCAACTGGTTTTAAATGCTAAACGTAAAATTCATGAAACTTCGATGAGTATATTAGTCACTCCTTTCAAATATTTTCTCTATCTGAATTTAACCAAAGCTTTTCACGACAGCATCGTCGTATCAAAAGGGAGAAATGGGTTTGAATGATGCATTATACGCGGACCCACAACTCTTCCCGATTTAGTAGGAGTAGATGTTCTTTCCGATGGAGTTCGTAATAGTGGCAGCTATTGATAAGGCCTTTTTACTACGGGAGTTACTGTCAGGGAGAAAAAAACTGCACACTATTCCTTTGGTTAAAGAATATACGGGGACAAGCAATGAAAGATAATATTGAAAGATAATACTATCGATTTCAACTAGTCCCGTTGAGATCATATCTTTATCATTTTTACTATCGCTATACTTAATTATCACTTGGAAAATTATGGTAATGAATTCGCCAATTAGATCAGAAAAAATCTTTATGTCGACAACATTATAGTACCAACCAGCTCTTCACAAATATCAAAAAATGAAAACTATCTTTAACAATGCCTCGATGAATGTTAGGGAATTCTTATTAAACGACAAAGAATTTAATTCCAAGATTCTTGAACAGGATCGAGTAGAAATAAGTGAGTTTAAAAAAAGATTCTTGGTATTAAATGGAGATTAGGGATATTATTCAAATAACCTTAAAACCTTGGATAGATCAAGAGCCAATAAAAAGAACGATATTGCAATTCTTAGCTTCTCAATATGACCCCTTAAGGTTCCTAATTCCAAGTACAATGCCAACTATTCCTTCAAAATCTTTGGAAAAAGAAATTGAATTGGGACCAATCAATAAGTATGAATAAGTATATAATTGGGACCAGAAAATAAATTTATATTAAGATTTATATGCACATAGTCAATATATATGAAATACCACGTGTCGCAATTGACAATTTACAAGATTTCATATTTTCTCTTTTCAGACGCTTCCTCAGTTGCATATGCTGCTTCGGTATAGTTACTCGGGATAATAAAGCTTTCTTGGTTTTTGCCAAATTGCGGATTGCGGGTCTTATTAAAAGTACTATTCCAAGACTAAAATTATTAGCCGTGGCTCATAGAAGTACCTACTGCTTGTTATTAAGCAGGTGGAATTAGCGAATATTGATGTACCTTATGGTCAGACCCCAAATGTACATTGGATACAAAATCATTCTCGTCTACTTCCAAAATTGAGTTGGAGACGAACAAGCAAAGTTCTTATTTCGCTTTGTTCCAACTAAATGTAATCCTCTTCAATTCATAGGATTTGATCTATGGTGGGATGAATCAGATTGGCCACATTGGAAAATCGATTAAGTTTATAATGAAAATAAAAGCGAAGAACAAAATCAGAAGATCATTGCGCATATCACTATTAATAATGCCTTTAAATTAATCGACACAACATTCAGTAAATGGACAACATTGATAAGAGAAGAATTTTGAAATTTTTAAATTTAATGTTCAAGCAAAGAATTCCTTAGTTAAATACTTCATCACGTAAGAATCGACTCAGTGATGACGATCATGAATTAGTTGAATATATTAATTAGATAAGCCCAATCTGAAGGATTAACGGATGAAGAAATAATTAAATGGAATCTATACTATAATCTATACTATAAAGAAGGACTATGGAAATCTAAAAGGCACCTAGAAAACTCAGAATTAGACGAACGAGAATTGTATTCCATATATCTTCCTAGATATAATCAAAATCTTTATACAACAACAACATGAAGAAATATTTCATGCTGGAACGGATCTCATGTTTAAGAAAAAAGTTTTGTATATCCAAGAGAAGAGTAGAAGTTAAAGGAGTTTTGAATGAATGCATGGGATGTAAATACAATAGAAAGCAAAACCATTTAAACTACAAACTATGCCTATTATCCAGTATTTCGAGTAAGACGACTTGGATTATTTTCGGCAAAACGAAAACGGAATCACAAAAAGATGGGTTATTTTATTTGCATGTTTTACTACTAGATTTAAAATTAGCAGATATTTTGTCTTCCTGAATGTTTTCAAAAGATTTGTCTCTCAACACGGCAGGAGTCCGGAAATAATTCTGAGTGACCATGCGAATCAATTTCAGTTAGTTTTCCAAATCCTAATGGAATGAGAATAACTGACCGAATATCTAGCTATACATGGAATGAAATGGAAAAATATAATTCCGAAGGCACCATGGAGCGGAGGAGTTTACAAACGGAATAATCATCCTAACGAAAAGAACATTAAGAAAGGTTATAGAAAGGAAATTGCTAAAAGAAAAGGAATTTATTACCTTAATAGTGGAAGTAAAAGTATATTTAATATTCACCCATTAACTTATGAAAACTTTGACGATTCCACAATCTTAAAATTTATCGATTTTATTATACGAGACGTATGTCTAACGATACCTACTAATAATATCGATGATCAACATAACCATAAACATTCAACAATCAAGAGAAACTTGTGAAATACTGGGTAAGTACAACAAAAACTCTGGAAATATTTTTGGAAAGAGGATTATGGAAGGAGGAATATTTAACCTTAACTAGTTTGAAAGATGTACGCAAATAGAACATAAAATCTCTTAGAAGTGTAAAGATTAGAGCTTCTATTGAAGGAGAAATTGTAATAGTAAACGAATCAAATGTTCCTCGCGGCACATGGAAATTAGCAAAAATAAGGAAACTCAATAAAGGACGCGGCAATAAGGTAAGAAACACTCTAATAGAATTATATATCGAAGATTAATAAATCGACCTATAAATATGTTATATCCATTGGAAATTCAACACGAAGGATCAAAAGGTAACATTGGAGAATTCTATAAATCAACCAAAGCAAAGGTCAGAACAGCAAAGGAGGAACCTATTGCACGACGAATTAGAACTGCTACAAGATAGAAACGAACGAACGATTTTAATTAAAGGAGAAGAAAATTATCTGCCTAATTATTTTTATCTGCCTAATAAACCATTTTTTTATAATCTCAATAAATTCCCACGTGATGTTTCTAATTTCTCAGTCAGGAATGTCGCGAATAGCGAACAAAAAAAATGAAATAAGTAAAATAAAACAAGTTCCTGAAATAAATCAGGAATCTCAAGTTCTTAAGATATTTTTTCGTTTTTTTATTTTCTATTAGCAATTAGATTTAGCAAGATTCCACTTTCTTTTTTCGTTTATTAGCTGAAAAACTAATTAAGCGTGCGAAATCTCTTATGTTATAAAAAATCTTATAATCTTATCAAATTATTGTTTTTGTGCGCATATTTATTTAAATATTCGTTTGCCATTCTTTCTTTTTTATGCGAATAAAATGTCAAAATAGGCTCATTTTTCAAAGTTGAAATAACTCTGCTTTGCTTATTTTATTTTTCTTAATAATTTTTTTTTCAGAAAACATAAATAATCATTTTATTTGTCATCAATAATCATTAAATAGAACATAAATCTCCTAGAAATGTAAAGACCATTGATTTTTGACCATTTATCAATTATTTATTTTTTTTATGTTAATAATAAAATTGAAAAACCTTAGTTTGCTTGGATTCGTCGACAGATCATTGGATTTCAAACTAATTAACCACATCCTCCTCCAGTTAATTTCCACTGGTTCAACCTCATATAATATATTAAAGTTTTGCAATCCATTCCCCCCAACTAATTCCTCCACAATATTCTCGGAATATTCCGCACAGCACCTTCAGAAGATTTTCTACTTTGAATTTTTATATTTTTTTTAGATTTTTTTAGATTGTTTTCAAATTGGCAATTTCCAGTTGCATATGGCATATTGGTAAGAATGGAATATGCCTTTTCATAATAATTGGTTTTATAATTGTAGGAATGTGATAGAAAGACCTCAAAATGACATATGACATAAAAATTTCAGCACAAAATGAAGAAAATTGCCAAAAATTAATATGTAACTTAACAAAGGAGTGTTACTTGTTTTTTGTTACTTTCAAATATGGCTACTAATATTGATTTTACTTTTACTGTTGATTTTTGTTTATATCTTGTGAACTATTAGAAAAAGAAAGAAAACGATTGTTAACTGGTATCTCTCAGTTAATCATATCCTTTTTATCATCATCAATAGTGGTAGTGGTATTTTCTCGTTTTATATCTTCATTTCTTATACAATACAAGCTAAAATCTGATCTTATTATTTTTTTCTTCTTTCATGTTTTTAGTTGTGTTTTTAGTTGTCCTTTTGATCAGAAATTCTTTTTCCCGTTATAATTGATTTTTGCCCCACATTATGCCGTAGTAACTGTGGCGTAAGGCAATAAAGCCGGTCGTTAAATGACTTTTTTCCTAGGTCGAATACTAATGCATTGTTAAATGGAGATGCGATGTATAATATTTTATTTTTTTTTTTTTTCATGTTTTTAGTTTTTTTATGTAATTTGATCATATCACTGGAAAATTGTATTTTTTCCAAAGGTCAAAATTTTGGAAATAAGTATTCATTTTCTCACTTTTTTGAGTTGGTCAATGATCTTTTTATTACTTGTAGAATTCGAATTTCGAATCGGAAAGCAAAAAGCCTAATCAAAACGGTAACTGTGGACGATAATGATTTTATTTAGCTAAGCAAGGCCAAGACAATTTATCAAATTACTTAGAAGAAAATCGATGCGTGGTAGTCGTATTTTATCCTCTAAATCATTTTAAATTCCTTCTCAATTTAAAATAAATTTGTCTTTAAAAAATATAGTTTATTGAAGGTATCGATACTCTTGCATCTAATTTTCAAGCCGAAAAGCCCCACACACTGATCGAGAAAATGGTAAATATCCCTTTATCAGCACGGCTTTTATAGCCACTTCTTCACAAATATCGGCAAATCTTTCCGATTGGTCAGCATCAATTGACAAAGGAAAAACGCTATCAGTTATATCTAGATTTGGCTAAAGCTTTTGTTTCCCATAGCAAATTACTGATCACTCTTAATAGTTATGGCATTACAGGGGCTCTTTATAACTCTTTTGGCTCTTTATGGGTGTGAGATTACATAAAAGATCGTCACCAAGCAGTATTCGTTAATAACACTCTTTCTGACATAACACCTGTTAAATCTACTGTTTTCCCAAGATATTGTATTGTGCCATCGCTTTTTCTGTTATATATAAATGATATCACCAATGTGGTATTAAATTCTATTATTTATCTTTATGCTGTCGATTGTAATATTTATTATTCTCATGATAGATTAGATAGCATATCTCCACTGCAAGAGGACCTCAAAAGAATAATCAACTGGCTATATGATAGGCAAATTACCTCTTCTTTCAAAAATAAAGCGTACTTATCAATTCTAAAGGTTTCGATTTTCCTAATCTTTTTATATTTATCTTTTTATTAATGGCAATATATTTAGTCACATATTTCTTGGAATAATCGTGGATTTCGACTTTCACTTCAGAAGCTTCAAAGATATTAAATTTTATTTTTCGCTCATTTAAGAGCAAAACTGAAGATTTCCTTATCAAAATGTATAAAGCGTTCGTTCGGCCACTACAATGCTACATTTTACTCCCCAAGATATCGTAAATCAAAATACAAATAATATTAGAACTCCAAAAATACTTTATAGTGCGCCTCTCTCCTAATTGCAATTTTAATTACAAAAGATTCGTTGCGTTTGCTATTCTCGTGAGCGTTTATTCTCTTCGTCAATAATTCATTATTTCTATTATATTATATTGTGCTTCTTATTGCATTTGTCTAAAAGATATTCTTTCCAAAAGTATATTATTATTATCGTTTTATACTGGGCACTTATAAGATAAAAAGAAATTCCAAATGGCACCGAAAAAAGTAGCAATAAATGGGACTGTTTCCAATAATGATGTTAGCTATTTAAATAAAACATCGAGGATCTGAGGTCACAACTAGCTTCCATTACTGAGAAATATGAAAAACAACAAGATCTAATTGTGCATTTAACTAGATCTGTTGAAATACTTACAAAGGTCAAAGACGAACTTAAGAATGATATTAATAATTTGAAAGCTTCGTCTTTGAGCAACTTCGAGCATTAAAAAATTGAAACTGAACATGTATTGGAAACCATTGAAGAATATTTTGAAAGACGAAAAAGACCCATGTCTAGTTGGCATAAACATTCCAGAGAAATCTACGGATGATGAATCTGTTACTGCCGATAGGCTTTTAGCAGAAAACATTGTAGTTGCCGCTGGGTTCAAGACTGAATTCATTAAGGAGGTTCGTCGTCATGGAAGAAAGGGGACAGGGAGGCCACGAGTACTTAAAATTCGTCTCGAAGATAAGCATATGGCCATGTCTGCATATGGCCATGTCTGTTTTGCGTAACAAAGATATGCGCTAGATCGTTCCCCCTGGAAGTTTTTTTGCGAAAAGATCTGACGAAAAGAGAATTATTACTAGATAAACAGCTACAGAAAAGAATGTTTTACACGAAATCAAAGTCTCAATCTGAAAAAGTATGT